GAGCCAAGTTCACATGAAGCGTGTGGCTACCAGACATCCTCCCCACCTAGAGGCCACAAGCAGCAGCCAGCGTTGGCTTTGTACTTGTGGCCATTTTCTCTGGAGATGTTTTTTTAGCATGGAAAACACTTTTCCATCAGATTGGATATAGATCCCAACTATGTGAGCAGAGAGCTCTGAAGTGGTGATGGTTGCGGTGGGAACTCCTTCAGCCAATAGCCTTTAAGATACCAGCCCACTTTGGGCGTGGTCTCCTGTACCTTCAGCCAATAGTCTTTAAGATACTGGCCCACTTGGCCGCGCTCTTGTGTATTATAAATGCAGACTAAAAGCGTGTTCATCCCCAGATAAATAAGCCTTTGCTCTGCTCCATTCTGGGATACTGTGGAACTCTTGTACGACACCAGATGGTGGTGCCGGAGTCCCGCGTTCAGAGTAGATCCCAGCTATGTGGTCAGAGCGCTCTGAGGTGGTGACGGTGGGTGTACAATTGGCCAGTTCAGCAATGCCACTTGCCCTCTCTCCTGCCCGAAGGGATCTAACAGGCTGCGATGCAGTGCAGATCTATTGAGTGTAATGATATCAATTTTGACACAATTTTCTGTTTCGCTTATTAGAAGTTATGGCCATCTTGGCCATGATGAACTAAACTGTCAGAATGATTTTGGTTTGCATTTCCCTGATGGTTAAGAATGCTAAATACTTTTCATAATTTAGTAGACATTTGTAATCCTTCTTTTGAGAGCTGCCAATTCACATTATTAATCTTCTTGGTTATTAATTTCTTGAGTCTTTAATATGCTCTAGATATTAATCCCCAGGGGTAGATTTTCCCCTACTTTTTCTGCTGTGCAGGAACTTTTCAGTTTCATGCACTTTCATTGGTCAATTCTCGCAATAGTTTCTTGAGCTACTGAAGTCATCTCCTGAGTCTGTATCTTGAACTGTGTTTCAAGATTTCAGGTCTTACATTAAGTCTTACGATCGACCTTTATACAGGGCAAGAGGCAGGCCCACCTCAATCTTCTGCATGTGGGTGTCCAGTTTCCCAGCACTATTTGTTGACAAGACTGTCTTTCTGCCGATATGTTGTGGGCACTTTTGTTGAAAACCAGATGAGTGTGGCTGTGTGGGTTTACTTCTCAGTCCCCTCCTCTGCCCCGTTACTCTACATGTCTGTTTTTGTGCTGGCCATGCCGTTTGGGTTTGTGAGATTTTGTTACTGACATGGTTAAAAAACAAAAACAAACAAACAAACCTTTAGTTCATCAATTGATGTTATTTGTATTACTTAATTGTTTTGTGCTAGCATTTCATTTTGTTGTTTGAATTGTAATTTGAATATAATTGTGCAGAACTGCCAAAACTAAGTAAATCTAGAGAGCAAGAGGTGTTCTGTGAGGTATGGATCCTGTTTTCTCCTCCATTCTTTCCTTCCTCTAAGAAATCATCGTGTTTAGTGTTTGTTTGTTTAGTAATTTCTATGTGAAAATATAATCAAATGTGTATACCTGCGCGAACATGAAACACATTGTGTGTATTCTCTCATGCTTCTCTCAAGTTTGATCTCTGGAAGTGGACCTCCATATGTGGAGTGGTGATGTTTGACACCCGCATCACGCACGTAAATAAACAATCAAATGTGTGACAGAAAGATGCCTACACACCCATGTTTATTATGGCTTTCCACAGTAGCCAAACTATGTGGAATGGGCTTAGATACCCATAAATGGATGAGCAGATAAAGAAAATATCACACATGTACACACACAGGCACATACTCTCATTGCCCCCTCCAGGCAATGGAATGTTATTCGCCCTTTAGAGGAAATGAAATTGGGCCTGTGAGGTGGCTCAAGGTGTATAGTGGTTTGAATGACCCCTTATGGTCTTGGATATTTGAATGCTTGATTAATGATGCTGATGGGGAGATTTAGATGGCATAGCCTTGCTTGAGGAACCATATCTCTGGGGGTGAGCACTGAAATTAAAAGCCTTGTGCCATTGCCAGTTTGCTCTCTCTGCTTCCTGCCTGGAGATGTGCTGACTCGGCTTCCTGCTCCTGCTGCCCAGCACCATCATGCCTCCCCATCATGACGGACTCTTACTCCTCTGGGACGGTGAACCAAAGCAAACCCTTCCTTCCGTCTGTAAGAGTCTGGTCATGGTGTCTTATCCGAGCAGCAGAAAAGTAACTGGCACAGGTCATAATGGTGCCTGCTGCCAAGCTTGCCAGCCTGGGACCCGCGTAGAGGAAGGGGAGGACCGACTCCTGTCACATGACCGCTTTGGCACCCACACCACACACCCACATGAGTAAATAAATGCATACATACATACATGCATCATGCACAATACATGCATGCATGCATGCATACATACAAAATTCCTTTTTGAAGAATGAAGCACGAGGTTTGCGGGAAATGGATGGAACTGGAGAACCATGTTAATTAAGACAGACTAGGGGAGACAGGCGTCACATTCCCTGAGTATACATAGAAGAAAAACAAAATACCTAAAGTAGGAGAGTGTTGGGGAGTAAGAAATTCACGTGGGAGGGAGGCTGTAAATGCAGACTGCCTGGGCAAGGAGACACAAAGGACGTTACAGACGTGTACCAATGTGTTATAAGATACCTGTCGTTTTGTGTAATCTGTGTACATTAGTAGGAAGTAAATACACAAGAGAAGTTGATTGGTGTTGAGATGCAATCGTCCTCCCCTTAACAAACCACGAGAAATTGTCCTTCCCTTCCTTCCTTCCTTCCTTCCTTCCTTCCTTCCTTTCCTTCATCCCTCCCCATTTCCTTTACCTATTAATTGTGTAAATTGTGGAAGGACCACAGTGTCCCCACCATCTTGTAGGAAGAGTCCACGAGTCCTTGCAGAAGGGACAGGACTCAGGCCACAGCGAGAGGGAGACTGGAGGGACCCTAGCTTCCCCAGGAGGAACAGGACAGGCCTCAGCATGAGAACCCAGCATGGCACCCCTGTGAAGAGGGGCTTGTATTTCAGCAGAGACAGAGCTTCAGGAGTTGCGGCCTGAAGGCGAATGTGAACAAAATAATCCCACACTAGCCCTAAACTGAGTATAATAACGGGTTCTTTATTTAGGGGGGACTCACAGATCACAGGCCTCCATACGAACTGGGAAATGGAACCAAACCCAGCATCCAGGTGAGAGAGAGGAGAAAGAGAGAGAGCAGGCAGGTGCACCTTGGTACCCCAGGCCATGCCCAACCTGGTCCAACCTCTCAAAGGCCATTGGCTAAAGGAGGGTCCCCATCAGTGGCCTTTCCCTTCAGGTTGAGGAAGAGGTTTTCGCTTCCACAGGCCTGCGGCCTGACCACACTTCAGTTTCCCTCAGTTTTGTGAGGTTCATGCGCACGCTGCCTGTGAAGTCAGTGTTAGTGGAAACCACCCCCTTCCTGATGCTTATTGTCCACCACCCCCAGCTGGTGTCTGCTCCCTTGATTGTCTTCAGCGAGGACCGTGGGAGGCTTTGTTAGACAGAGAACCCCTCATTCCTTATTCTTGGTCTTGGCCGTTTCTCGGCCACTGACCCCACACTATGTCTTGGTTTCAAGTGCCACGTCCCCAAGCTGTGCCAGGGTTGGGACTTCTCTGTCTCTCTTCCGATTGCAGAGGCTGTGCCGCCGTAAAATCCCACTCCAGCAACAATCTCCTCCCCGAATAACGTCTGTTGTTAAAGCACACTTTAAAAACTATCGTCAAATACCTGTGTTCCACTACTTCCCTAGACTCCAGGGGACTGGAATCTGATGGTTCTGTGGGAGCTGCAGACTCTATCCAGGGGACCGTGGGGTTAGAGAGACTCAAAGTGGTGACCGAAAGTCAGTGAGAGTAGATGGGGCGCGGGGGAGGCGGAGGGGGAGGAGACCAGCTGGTGGCTCTTTGTGTGAATGAAGCCACAGCTCAAGAGACAGTGCTTCCCAGAGTGACGTCACTAGGCCTCCCTGTGTTGATGCTGTCCACACATCCTGGTTGCCAAGTGGTCAGTCTGTCCTTTCACACACCTGAGGAATGACAGTACTCCCTGCTGGTTTAGGTCTCCTGGGGCTAGAGGGCAGATAGGAAATGTTCTATAAAGACTGTGTGTTGAGGCTTGGCCACCATCCTGTAGGGCCACCGGGAGTGGAGGAGCTTTCAGGAGCTGTCAGAAGTGTGCTAGGTGACATAGAAACTCTGGTCTGTGTGCCTGTTCTGTCCTGGTCCTTCTGTCTCTGTGCGTCTTCCTTCCTCCCTCTCTCTCTCCCTCCCTTCCTCCCTCTCTCTCTCCCTCCCTTCCTCCCTCTCTTTCTCCCTCCCTTCCTCCCTTCCTCCTTGTTTTGAGCAGGTTCCCCACCACAGTTCCCTCCTTCAATACACTCTGTTGTCAATCCTCACATTAAGTGTGCAGATTCACATCTACAAGGATGGCAAAGGAAGGCCTGGGCCAAACCACACACAGCTGCCCTCAAAAAGGCTGTTGGTGTGGGACAGTGATCTGTATTCTGTCAATTATATTTTAAATAAATGCTGACTGGCCATTAGCCAGGCAGGAAGAATAGGCGGGAAAACCAGACAGGAAGTAGAGGTGGGGCAATGAGAACAGGAGTATTCTGGGAAGAAGGAAGCTCTTTCCGCAGTCCTGCCCAGGTCACAGAAGAAGCAAGATGTGATCTACCCCACTGAAAAAGGTACCAAGCGATATGGCTAACATAGATAAGAATAATGGGCTAATATAAGTTATAAAAGCTAATACAAAGCCTGAGCTAATGGGCCAATCAGTTTTATAACTTATGTAGACCTTCTGTGTGATTTTTTGGGACCTAACAACTGTGGGAACTGGACAGGACAGAAATCCCAACAAGCAGGCCCTCATATTACAGGCTGTGGTCTTTGCTACTTGGTATTCATATGTCTGGTTCCTTACCAGTTCAATAAGCAAGTTAGCATTTCATGGTGGGTGCATCTGATAAAACAAACAAACAAACAAAAAACCCAACAAGAATAAGAATTTAATATAAAATGCACAAATTCAGTTGCCTTTGGGGCTATGTTAGAGCAAGATAGGGCTTGGGGTTGAGGTAAGCCAGTCAAGGGAGGACTCCTGGGAGGATCCCTGGGATCCTGGAGCTTTGCCGAGTGTCACTCAGAGGTCACAGTACTTAGAAACTAGTCATACAAAACACAAAAGCATCCAAACCCCCACTAGGCCCCAGGCAGCTGCCACTATAAACAGATGTGTACTGTGGCTAGCTTGTCACTGCACAGCCCCAGCCCCACTGTTTGGAAGCCATAACACTTACTGATTTAATCAAACCACACTGAGCTTTGCACTGTTGGGGTTCCCAGGGGCAGCAGAGCAGGGGAGTGAGGTCAACCCCGGGGATTGCTCAGGTCCAAGCCTTTGTGGCCCACTGCCTGGGCACTGGAGTCTGCTGGGCTGAGACTCTGCAAGCCAGCTCCAGCTCAGTCAGCCCCACAGCTACGGCCCCCACAAGACACCTTCAGGGGACAGTTGACCCAAGAACCTTACAGCTTCCCTAACCAAGAGCCTCTTCCAACCATAGAGGACATCTGCCCTTGCCTGGCTTCCTTGGTGGCTCCTTTGGTGGCATTATCCCTGTCCCGTGTGGGTCTGACTTTTGACAAGAAGGAAGAGATCCTGAGAACAAACCGAACTTATAGCTCAGCAGACAGCCCTGCCCCCCCCCCCGTGTGTGTGTGTGTGTGTGTGTGGCTGGCTGGCTGGCTGCTGGACCCTTCCAGTCTCCCCAGATGTGCGATGTGCTCATGGGGTGATATTTCCAATGAGAAAGTGGCTCTGTCATGGGAGATCATCGTACAGCCGTGCAGGCCCAGCTGCTAGGGACTGGGAAGCAATATGTTAGTCCTGGGAGTGGCTCTCCCCTCTTTACCTGTTATCTAGTAATCAATCCCTGCGGCCCATGTTATTGAAATAAACATCATCACCCTGTTTACAAAGCAGACAGAGAGAGGCCAAGTGCCCTCCCTTCTCTTCTCAACTGAGAGCAAACTCCTTGACATTTTAAAAGGAAACCCTTTAAAGGAAGCACTAGTGTAAAGTGTGCTTTCCAGAATGAGGATCGTTGGTCAGGACAAGGAGCATCCTCCCATCTTCAGGACCTCTCATGATGTCACACAGAGAACAGGAGGGCTGGACTCAGTAGGAGCTCAGACTCAGCCACCAGAGATTTGATATTCCTCTTTCTTATGAGCCCATAAGAGTATGGGAGTATCCATGTGTATAAGGATGTGTGTGTGTGTGTGTGTGTGTGTGTGTGTGTGTGTATGATATATCGATGTATATACATATGTATATGCATATATGTGGGGATGTGTTAACATATGTGAGTACGTGTCTGTGTGTGGAGATGAGAGTACACATGTACACATGAATGTGGACGTGTATGTGTCTTTATGTGTGTAGGCGTATGTGAGACTGTAAGTACCTTAGCCTGTGGGTGTACACACAACCCTCATGAATATCCTGTCAGCTGACCTTAGTGTGAGGATGCCTTCCTCAGGCCTGCAGCCCTTCCTGGCCCTCTTCTCATGACGTTCCCAGCTGCCTGGCCTAGGAATTGGAAAAGGTGGAGCCTGACCTGTGTCAGAAGCTAAATGAGCAGAGCCAGGGAGCGAGCTGGTAGGCAGTGTTCCTCCGTGGTCTCTGCGTCAGTTCCCTCTTGAGTTCCTACCCCGACTTTTCTTAGTGATGAACTATGACCTAGAAGTGTGAGCTGAAAAGGAGCCTTTCTTCCCCCGAGTTGCGCTGGTCATGGCGTTTATTATAGTAACAGAAAGCAAGCTAGGCAGATGTAATAGAAACGTCACAGGGCTTCAACATCTGACAGACTTCGCCCTGAAGCCTCTGTTGGCTGTGTGACAGTATACAAATGGCTTAGCTTCTCTGCATCTCGGCTTCCTTGAACCTCCTTTGTGGCATCTGTGAGCGGGTGGTCAAGGCTGGTGTGTGTCACTACACCAGCACTGCGTAAGACCCTTCAAACTAGACCCCTCCCTCTGTTGTACCTTAAAGGGTTAATGGCTGCCAACGTAGACTTAATGGCCCCTGTGCCCTTCCCACAGAATCCCTTTAGCCCATGTGTCCCTTTGGCCCATGTGAACGATATCCCCCAAGAACATTCCTGCTCTGAGTTTACACTAAACGACATATTCCGTCATGGCCCACTGCTGGGTCCAAGGTGTGTCTGCGTTGTGTGTGGTTTATGTGTGAAGTGTTCCCCCCTTCCATGGACTCGTGTTTTGTAAATTTTATCCCTAGATGATGGTGCATTCTCAGACATGGTGTATAAACTTTGTGGGAAGTGGGTCCCAGGAGGTGTGCCTCTGTAGGTTTTACCTGGTCCCCAGTCCTTCTCTTGCTGCATCCTACCTGCCATGAGGGGAAGATGCACCCTCACAGGCTCCTGCAACAGGTCACACAGGGGTAGGAGCGTCCTGCCTCCATGATGTTCTGTCCAAGTGCCTGGGTGACTCTGGCCAAACCCTCTCCAGCTGGGATTCCAAATTAATCCTTTCTCCTTGAGGTTATTCTTTCCCAAGTGTTTTGGTCACTAAGACCAAAGCAACATGGCCTGTGTCCTCCAAGTCATTGTAAACCTCAGGATTCTTTCTTGGACCCCTGGAGACTTGGATTATGAGAGGGACCAGCCTTTGTCCTGCCCCTCCGGGGCTAGATCAGCTTCACCCTTGACAGAAATCTTGTCTGGCCCTAGTGTGAGGCAGAGTGGGATCAAGCTGGCCCCTGCTTCATGTGTGATTTTACTAATTAAGCTTTTCAGGGTACCCCGTGTGACAAGTTTTCAGAAGTGTCTGCTTACTGCATGGATGTTGAGACTGGATGGCATGTGTCTCTTTTCCTGCCTGTCCTATGATACATGAACCAATCTTTTCAATTCTGTTGTAATTTGTTATCAGGAATCTCATACGTACATCCTGGCAGGGTCCATATATCCTGGACAAGAGTCCCTATGTCCCACACTGATGTTACCCCTGCCAGGTTTGGGAGCTGATGGCAGTGTCCATGAACTCCATAGAACTGAGAGGACAGTTGCTTATAAATGTGATCTGCTCTGACTCTTGGCTCTGTGAGTATTTACTCAGTGCCGGGGCCCTGGGATACTCCTGGAGGGAACCTCTGCAACCCCTAACTGCTGGCCAGAATTACCTGCCTCCCTACTGCTCCTCTGAGAACCTCTGTGTGGTGTGTGTTTGTGTGTGTGCATGTGTGTGTGTGTGTCTGTGTGTGGTATGTAGGTACAAATACACCACAGATATATTTACACACGTGTACACACGCACACACACGCAGATCTGTGTAGAGACAGACTGAATTGTGTATGTGTGTGTGTGTGTGTGTGTGTGTGTGTGTTTGTACACAAGAAAGTGGAAGACGGCTGTGAGGGAGGATGCAGAGATCTAAAGGCAGGGAAGCAAGAGAAGGTGACAATGTGTGACATGAAAGCAGGATGCTCTTTGGAAAAAGGAAGGGGCCAGCAAGAGAAGAGCAGGGACTGAGGGAGCATCAACAAGATCATAGTATAATGGTGTATGGAAACAGAATAAGTACATTTGAGTGCTAACTAAAATTTAGTTCAAAAGGATCTGAATTCTGAAAACGCCATGTACTAAAGCCATCAACACCGTCATTGTCATTGCTGCTGTCACCACCCAGCAGCATTCGCTGTGCCCCTTGTCACCACCACCACCACCACCACCACCACCACCATCCGTGTGTGTACTTTGCATTTCCAAACCCAGGCACATGCAGGATCTCCCTAGTGCTTATCTGCGTGGCACAGCGGGCAGCTCTGGCACCGTTCTCGTCAGGTGACCTGTAAGCTGAGTTTCACAGAAGTGCAGTGATAGGTTCTCAGATGTCAGAACCAGGATAACCACGCCCAGACCAGAGCCTGGGGTTCCTGAGTCCAAAATGACTGTTTGTTCAATGTACCCAACTCTTCCAGAGAAACGGAAGAATTCTTAGCTTCGGCTATGAACAACTTTGGTCCTAAATTCAAGGGAGTAAGTCTTTAAAATGAAGTCACTTTGGGGGATGATCCCAACTCCCACATGTTCCAGGTGATCAACTGCCACTCAAAAAAGGATACGATCCCTAGAAGGTGAACGTTAATCCCAAGAATTTGACTCCAGGTTCAGCCTTCACCCATGACAAGAGGCCATCCCTTTGCCCTCAGGAGTATCCTGAATCCCCTGAGAACCCTGAGTCTCCCTCTGACCTATGGCTTCTATTGTTTCTTCTTATACCAGGAAAATCTGAGCCATAAGCTGCTGGTGACTCTTCATACTCAGAAGTGTCATGGCCAGAGATGCTCACCCTGCCCTAATCCAGGGCTCAGTTCCTTCTTCAAGATCCCAGGCAGGCCCCAAACTCCTCCACCTGCAAAACAGCTGAGGCCTCCCAATGTAGTCTGTTGGCCTTGACTTTCAAGGGACCGCCTGGGTTCCTGTGTGGAGCCTGCCACCTTCACCCTTTGGTTCTGGGTCGTCTTGATGAGGCTGAAGGGCAGCCGTATTGTGGATGATCAGGGAGCACTTTACCACCTTGCTCTGAAACCCTTTCCTTTTGAGTTCAGAAGTTAAGTTTGCATAATAAATGTCCTCCAGGGACCTCTCATTTTTCCTGAGGATGTTTCTGGCCAGCCGGAAGACAAAGATCACACCATAGATCCCAATGATGGTGAGGATGTACCAGGTGGCACTGGCCGCGTCTGGTGGCCTCAGGGTCCTGGTGGAATTGGTGCTGTCCCTCCCCTCCACAGGGTCATGCAAGAAGGAGTTGGATTGGGTCTGGTTGAAGGCATCCTGGGGTTTCCATTTGATCACTGGGAAACAGAAAGGCCAGATGAGACAAAGTGTTCTGGGTAAGAGTGGAGGCCCATATCCAAAACCACAGAGGACTGAGCGCTCAGGACAGTTTTTGGAGGCTTTCTGTGTGCAAAGTGAGAACCTGTCAACTTATGTGCCACACTCCTCAAAAATCAACAGTTCAAAAGATGAGTTTTTGACTACAACATCATCAAGTTTAACCACACTTCAAATTGTTTAAATGTGTTTGCATGTCAGAAAACCAAAATATAGGAGACCAAAGAGATGGCTCAGTGGGTCAGAATGTGTATTGCTTGCAGAGGATCTGAATTCGGTTCCCAGCACCCTTGTCAGTTGGCTCTCAGCTCCAGGGATCCCATGCCCTCTTCTGTTCTCCTTGGACACCTGCTCGTGCACAGAGACACAGTCATCAACACATAATTGAAAAATTAAAGCTTAAAAATGTACAAATGGCAAACCATAGAAACTGCCATTTTTACTGCCAATTTTTTAATCAGCCTTCAGTCCTAAAAGAAGAAAAAAATCTCAAATCTCAGCAGGAAAATGTGCAATCAGATCACAGGAAAAAAGAAGGAGGACCTTCAATAAAGAGGAAAACGTCACCATGAGGGAAGTGGGAATAAAAATGGAACATTTTTCATCAGCTTGTGCCACTTCAGAACTCCGTGTGTGTGTGTGTGTGTGTGTGTGTGCGTGTGCGTGTGCGTGTGCGTGTGCGTGTGCGTGTGTGTGTGTGTGTGTGTGTGTGTGTGTGTATGGGGTAACAAGGCCCTGCTGTCAAGTGCAAATCTATCCCATCAATGCAGAAGACTTCCTGGCAAGCTCTATTGGCATTCAAGATGCACTTACCTTTGACTCTGCCACTTGTCCTGAGCAGCTGGTCCTAAAGATGCTCTCGCACAGGTCTGAAGTGCAGAACCAGGCCCTGCACCAGCCGTGTAGGAGTATGTGCAAAGGAAACACTGAGCCTGTCTTGAATACCTAAGGGCCTCGCTCCTCTTACACAGTACATTGTGACAACTGTCTGTGTAGCAGTTACAACTGGTCACACAGGAGACTGTGCACAGGGTATTTTCAAATTTTATATCATTTTACATAAACGGCTTAAGCATTCATAGATTCTCTAAGTGTGGGAACCCTGGATCCAGTCCTCCAAGGCTATGGAGGAACTCTCGGATAACTAAGCCATTCCACCCCACGTGAGGGTGAAATACATGTGGAATTTCCACGCAGAGGAGTCCTGAAGAGATTTTTAGATCTAAACATTAATCAGTGAAGACTAAGCTAAAACAGACACAGTGTAGAAACCTGTGGGTGCATTGACTGCCCTTAGTTTATGAGCGTACATACTCAAGCAGATTCCCTTCCCTGTCACAGACACCTGAGGTAGTGAGTTTATGAAAAGGAAAGGCCATTCAGTCCCAGAGTTGTAGGGGTTTCACCCACAGTCACTTGGTTCCATTGTTTCCATGTCTGTGGCAGAGCAGCACGCATGGAGGGAGTGTGTGGAGGAGGAAGGGGCTCTCCATATGGTGGCCAAGAAAGAGAACCAGTGGCTGGATTTCCAAAGGTCAAGGTCACTCTTCCAGTGACCCAATGTCCTTCTACTAGGTTCCACCAGCTCCCAGCAGCACCAGTGACCACTCCTCCAAACCACAACAGTATAACTGGGAGAATACACAAGAAATGAGTGCCCCTGGGAGAAGGGAACTGGGGGTGCGAGATGGACTTTGTGCACTTTGGTTATGCGGTATGTACTTAGTTTTAGAAATAAGTTAATTTTCACAAACAAGAAGTACAAGTTGCCTTTTCTGGTCTCTTTGGGTCTGGACAAAGAGATTGCATGCTCTTGTCTGATGGGAAGGTTAAGATCTCAGCTGCTGTTTAACTCAGAACTGTTCTCTGCTGAGGAAGTTGGAGAAGCCACATCCCCCAAGTGACTTTGCTGGCTTCAGCTCAGGCTGTGGGTCGACCACACGGTCTCATACCACACCCTGGACATTTGTTTCCTGCTCTCTCTGTTTTCTAAAGCACGACATCAGAGTTTTGTTTGAAATCAGAGTTTCTTGGCAGAACGAGTGGATGCTCTTACTTATTTTACATAAAGGACGGTTTAAATGTGAATCTTCGAGCCACAATCAAAGCCCAGGACCAATAAGATTAGACTCTCATAACTGTAGCTTCTGGAAGCATTTCTGTGCTGCTGGTTGAATAAATAGTTTGAGACCTTGAAGGAGCTCAAGGGGGAAAAATCCTCACAATTCTATTTTTTTTAAAATAGCAAATCAACCCTAAAAGAATACAGTAAGTTTTGATTAGCGTGAGAGAATTTTTTAAACTTAAAATGCATGTATAAACCTATAGGACTTCCTGGAAAATGCTAGAATGCTGTTATATATTCAAATACAGAATAGAATCTACCCAGCTAAGAGCTACAGACATTCAGTTGCTTTCAAGCCAGCCTACTCTGAATTTGAAAGAAACTAACTCTATTGATGATGCAATCTGCGTGCTTTGTCTGTGTAGGGTGACAGTAAACTAGCTTGTATTTTAAAGGATGAATATGTCCTGTGGCAGGGCCTTGCCCACTGACACCTGTTGTTCACTGGTGTAAAATAAACGAGACAGTCGCTCCCACTACTCACCGTCCATGAGCTGGTCTTGGCCTTGACTCTCAGGAGGCAAATTCAAGGGGCTGCCCCAGAGGGGAGAGGAGACAATGACAGGCTCCGTCCTGCAGGTCACAGCCCCAGTGTTCCCAGGCGGCACCCTGAGCACTGCAGAGCAAACCCAAACAAAACCTAGCCCATTGCAAGTGAAGACTTCTCTTCTGAAGCGCAGCAGAGGGTCTGAGTGAGTCCTCTGTGCCACGTGAGACAGCGCCAGCCACCTGTGGCTTGTTAGGTCCAAACCAAAGGACTCTTCAGTTTGTTTATTTTAAATGCAGGTTCTAGAAAGCCTGTAGCCCTCCGCAGGGTGTGTGGGAAGCTGGCAATGCTGAGTCGTTCTCTCTGAGACTGGCTGACCAGTCCAAGCTGGATGGTTCCTGCATGGCCCTATCCTGCATTGCCCTGTTGCGGGTGTGGCCACTGCCCAAGTGCAGCAGAGGTCCATTGTCACGGGGTAAGTGTCCAAGTGCAACAGAGGCCCCTTGTCACAGGAACAAGAAGACTCATGGCCAAGTGTCACCAGCTTCCTCTCTGGCAATCTCCCGGATGAAGACATGCAGCAAGAAGGAACGGGCCCAGGACAGCATGTGGGAACCCCTAGGAGGAGCTGGTGAGTGTACTGGCCAGGGTTCTCTAGAGGAGCAGCTAATAGAAGAAGAGCATGCAGGAAAAGGGTTTTCACGGCGGCTTACAGGATGTGACCGGGGCAGTCCAGCAATGGCTGCCCCACATTGGAGAGGCCAAGGTCCTGTCATTGCAGAGCAGTCCTGACCTGGCACCGAGGTCCTGGAGAATTGCTGGAGAGCTGCTGGCTCTAACATTGGTGATGAAACGCCACAGCAATAGGGTAGGTGGACTCGCCAACAAGCGTGAAGGCAAGCAGGCGAAAACCAAAGTGTGTCTTTTCCATATCTTCTCACCGGGCTACCACCAGAAGGTGTGGCCCAGGTGTAGGGCGAGTCTTCCTGCCTCAATAATATGATGAAGAAAACCCTCACAGGAGTGCCAGGCAGGCTGGGCTTTAGTCACGTTGACAGCCAGTGTTAGCCATCACAAGTCCAACCCTTGTCAACTTGACACACAGTGTTGTCTCCTTATGTCAACATTAAGTGGGCCATAATTCCACCTCTCACGAGATATGACTATATATATGACTATAGACATATCATATGCTTTAGGGTGGGTGGCAAAGTCCCTTGAGGATGCCCAGGATTTTATAACTCACATATGACGATGTAGGTTTCCATCCCTTAACCACTGATATCATCTCAGTCCATGATCCAGACATGGACGAGAGGAAGCCCGACCAGCTCTCAGTGTTCCAGCATCCATATCGGTGACCTTTCTAGTGCCGCAGTACCGTGCCACGGCCGGGAGCAATTTCTGGAAGAGTTTGTTTGGACTTACGATTCCAGAGAGGGGAGTCCATAAAGGCAGGAGAGGCAGCCAGTGGCTGGAGCAGGAGGCTGAGAGAGAGAGAGGTCCCGTCTTCAGTCATAAACAAGAAGCAGAGACAGGGTGTGTGGTCTGGAAGTGGGGCAAGGCTGTGAACCCTCAAAACCTTTCCCCACTGAAGTGCCTCTTCCAGCAGGGACTACATCTCAGCAAACCCATGAAACCGCTGGGCAAAGGGTGCTAATATGAGTCCTGTTCAGTCAGGAAACCCTAGGGCGATGCTCTGTCTGCCTGAATCGGACCCACAGTGGCATTTGCCGTAGGACTGGATGTGGTCAGTGCTTGAGCCCACTTGAAACGAATGCTCACATCATGAGCGCTCACCAGTCCTGGGTGGCTCTGACTGCTAAAGAGTGTAAGTGAAGAGGGTCAGAATGGGGCAGGGAAGCCAGTCAGCCATCTGGAGGGGGACCCATGCTTGAGACAGTGGTGGCTTCAAGACAGCTCTGGAAGGGATGTACAGGATGTGGTTAATGGGCTGGATGCTGTGACCTTTCCTTGTCTCTGCCAAGTACCTGGTAGAAGCAGCTCAATGGGGAAAGGTTTATTTTGGTCCTTTTTGGCAGGGAAGGCATGGTCTAACACATTGGCCTATGATAATGGAGCTTGTGGTGGGACTCATTCTCCTCCTGATTGGCCAGGAAGTCACAGCTAGACTGGAAGTGGAGATGGGGAGGACCTGCCCCTGTTGACCTGGATCCTCTGACTAAGCCTGTGTCCCAGAGGTCCCACAACCTCCCAAGAGAGCGCCACCAGCTGGGGACCAAGTGTTCAAGCATATGAACAGACATTGTCTTTGCAAAAGATGGGTCCAGTCTGAGCGTCTGATCTGAGCTCGGCTGGAATCCGGGCTTTGCTCAAGTAACTCTAGTTTCAGAGGATCTGACACTTTCCTTTGGCCTCCACAAGCACCAAGCACATATGTGGTATACAAACATACACGCAGGCAAAACACCTATACACGCAAAATCATTTAAATTAGAAAAAAATAAAACAGTAACTCCCCTAGGTTGCTAGTAAAGCATTTGAAAGTACAGTCCCTGGAAAAGAACTTAGCAATTTCTTATACAGTTAGGTGAATCCCTCCCAGCTAATTCCTCTCCTAGGCATGTCCACACAATGCTTGCAGAATGCTAATTATAGTAATTATAGCCCAAGTCAGAGACAGTCAAGCAGACAGCAGTGTGTAGAATGTCCTCACAGAGAAATGCTGTTCAGAAACACACATGCAGGGACCTCAGAAGTATCACATCGTGTGCATGGATACAGCCACCAAGGACCACACACTGCTGAACGATTTAGATGAGACTTCTAGAAAAGGCAGCACCATTGGGACGGAAAGTGGAGCCATGATTGCCAAGGGGGGAGAAAGATCATGGAAGGGAGCCTGAGGGTCACACTGGGCTACATGCAAAGGGCCTGGGGGGACATAGTGAGCTGTGCTGAGAGTTCAGGGCTGTCTGCGTCCACTACTGATGCCCGTGTTATGGTACACACATTATAACCCAGTCAACTGGCCTTTGAACTTAAATTTAAGCACTAGTTACAAGTGTTTAGGGAATGAGTAGCAAAACCAACCCTGATGAAAAGCTCATTAAAAAAATAAGAAGTGTAAGCGTAGATTTTAGAACCCAGAAAGACCCGGATAAACTAATAATCCATCTAAGATCTGATTTCCTTGTGGTAAAAAAGATCAAATGATCATAGGATTAACTTCCCTTTGTAATTGCGAAGGGATGGCCACTGAAACAGTGACGTCATGTGACCCCACACCCCACACTTTCCTTGTCTATGTAGATTTCAAAATATGGACCAAATGAATGGTTTTCAGAAAAACATAAATTATTAAAGATGCTCCCAAAGTAGCTTTAAAACTCAGAAATGTTGGTTATCAGAGAGAAGATGGGGGGGGGGGGTTAACATCGCCACCCAGAGAATCCTGTGGTGCTTCCTCCTCAGAAGTCAGTCCTGCTGGTGCTCACTGGAGAATTTGAGTGGGGTCTTTATTTTGCTTTTTTAAGCACTAGAAATCATGAAGAAAGGAAATAAATTTCCCCCTTCTTACCCCTTCCTCTTTTCCCCCCTTCCACACTTCCTTTGGCACTCCCTCTCTCTCTCTCTCTCCCCACTTCCCTCCCTCCCTTCCTTTTTCCCTTCCCTCCCTCTCTCTCCCTCCACCCTGCCCTTCCCTCCTTCCTGTATGTTGGGTAGACCTTGCACATGCTAGGCACATGCTCTAACACTCAACTAAGCCTCCAGCTCCATGATGTCTTTTCTGCAGATAATAGGAATATAAATACTGATGAAAACCATGTAGAGATTCTGTTTCACTGCTTGGAGTTGAGAAAAGATGTTCGTCGAGTGGACCTCCTCACGGCGCCGTCTCTCCAGGTGCTCACGAGCATTTACAGTGCCCAGAACTGTGTCCACACATCACGACAGCTCATGGATGTCACCTGTTGTTATGTAGGCTATTAAGAACAATGAACATAATTAAAATCTATAGCATGCATACCTTCTGGTCCATCATTCATCTTCTGGGAATTTAGGGTAACAGTGTGGGTGTGTTTACAGGACACTGGTGCAGATGTGGCTGTTGCCCACTGTTTAAAAGCCAAAGACAGGAAACCATCAAGAGAGGAGCATTCTGGGAGAGGGTATCCATATAGGCAGCTCCTCTGCTGGTGTTAAGGTAACCAGGGAGATGCTGGCACTGTTGAGTTTAGGAGGAGGACCGGTAAGCATGGTGCAGTGTGTGATGTGGACTAGACCACTGCTTGCATACATCACTGGACATTCCTGTATGTGCAAAAGTATTCCTAAAAGGAGAGAGAGCCTTCTGTTGCCCCCAGACTACATTCTTTCAAGGGACCTGTTTGTTTTGCCCTGTGTGCACTGCCCAGTGAAAAGGAGATGCTATTGTTTAGGAGTTCATAGGAACCTGTTAACCCTTGCAGGGAGTCACCCTTTTCTGTGTGTGTGGCGAATTCTTGCTTTTGAGAATTTAAAATCTGATCCCTTAGCCTTCAGTCTATGCTCTTGATCTGCATTTTCTTGCAGGAATGCTCTATGTAAGTTACAGTCTGTCCCCAGAAAGAGAATTAATAGACAGCAAAACAAACCATGCATGCAGGTTGCCTTGATTTCAACCTCCTCCCTCCCCCAAAACAACTTTTTGGAATTCAGTCATTCAGTCCCAATTTCAAGCCTTCCTAACACCTTGGATGCTGGTCTGGAATCTGTTTCTGAAACCAGAAATTGGGACCAGAATTCATGCACCACAGAGCTGGTTGGTGGCTGTGGATGCTCTTCCCCCTTGTGGCGAGAATGTGTTATAGCAACCAGGCCATTGCCACATGGGTGCGTGGTAGGATTCTCTATGTGGCCAGCACACAAAACCTCAATAGGCAGTCATGCAGGTGTCATGGTACATTGTCTATCAAAATAATTATTATATGTGGATTTTATACATGGACATGCAATAATAATTTTTGCAAATATTGTTGTAATAAAAATAGTTTTAAAACTTCAAAAAACAAATAGATAAAAACCAAACCAACCAAGGCAGGTGTGCATACACAAGCCACACACATAAACACCACCCAAATTCTGATATTTACAGGTGATAAAATTTATGCAAAGGATTGTAGGGTGTGTTCAGCCTGGTCCTTCCTCAGCCGGACAGTGTTCTCATCGTGACTTCCTTGCATGCCCTGGAATATGCACCACAGAACCTCCATGAGACCAATTCTACATGACCACATAATAAATAAAAAAAATCAGAATGGCTCTAGAATATGGCTTTGCCAAGTGCATTTTTTATAAAGAGCAAGATCATAAATAGTTTTGGATTTGTGATCCATAGAATCTTTTCTGTTGCTGCTTTTGTATGGGGTGTGGTATAGGTATGTGTCTATATGTGAACATGTGGATGTGTGGCCGTGTTTGTGCATGTGAAACCCAGAATCAGTGCCAGGTGTCTTCAGGGATCCATGCCTACCTTATTTTCCCCAGGTTTCTC